AAGCCAAGAATCAAGCGAAGGATTGTTTTGTAAAGCCAGCTCTTGGGTGTTAATTACAATTTGCATCATTCAAACAACAAAACTTTCTAAACGAATGAAAAGACCGCTTATGTTTCTAATGTCAAAGAATAACGCGTCATTGTTGTCGACAGTGTTGCCAGTTTTACGTGATAACAAGTCGGCAACAGTGGTCATGGAAGCGTTTAATGGTTTATATAAAATATACATCCTCTTTACTTTATACTTTTCATTGAAATATATCAATGATCGGTATTATTGGAAATTAGCAATCATGGTATTGTTTTTTTTTAATAACTATCATAAACGAATACTTGAGATGAAACTGCTTTTGCAACACGGGGTTTAGGACAAGTTTGGTTTGGAGGGGGATTCTCAATTTTTATCTTTTAACGAACTTTATCAAAAATACCGTAACCTAGTCAATATTTGACAAACAAGGTTTCAAGTACTGCAGATTGAACATTATTGGTGGTGTAATCGGTAATGTTAAAGCTTAATTAGACAATAGGGCGCCGCTATTCTAGTGTTCAAGAGCAAGGACTTCTGTCCTAAACCTTAGGTCTAGGTCCAAGTCCCTCCAATCACCAATAGATTTTAAGGTTTGTGATAAACAAAGAGTACATGTTTGGAGATTTTAAAATTGTGAATAGACGAAATCATTTCGTTGATGTATTAATAAACAGTTCATTGTTAGTTACTTAATAATCCCATTGGAAACCAGTTGGTTTTGTCCAGTAATAGTTAATAGTTAATGTAATTACACTGTGTAACAGTGACGTAGCCAGGGGGGGGGGTCCTGGGGGTCCGGACCCCCCCCTTCCGGTCTTAAATATAATATTTTTCTGTTAAATTAAATGTAAAACTATACAATCATACTGTATTGACGTTGGGGTTGATTATTTTCAATGCCAAGAGAGCTAAAAAAGGCCGTTTTAGGGCCTATATTTGTCAAATTTTTCCGGGACCCCCATTTTATCCCCGGACCCCCCCCCCCCGGTCGGTCGACCCCCCCTATTTTTAAATCCTGGCTACGTTACTGTGTGTAATACCGTAACAAATTTAAATTTTCATGGCTTTGAAAAGTCTACTCATTGCACCCAAAACTCTGCTATTTTTAGAAATGGCAAGAATTTCCCCAAAGTTATAATTAAAGAGCTTTCTTCTATCTTATCATGTGGCAATTAATACACTCTCACATCTCTTAGATAAGGTCGTGGTTATTGTCTTACTGATTCTAGAACTTCCATGTATGGTACGGTAATGAAGTTCAAATGAAAATAAAACACTCAATTTCCATTGGTTTAACTTTTTAAATTGCACCATCTTATCAACCACTCTATCACGAATGTAATCAAAATATTATAATCATGTTATTGGTTTGATACTGGATGGGAATTGCCCTTGGTTGAGTTACTATTGGTCAGCCGATTTACAAAGTTTTGCCATAACTGTGCAGTTAGATAGTATCAGTATTTGTCTGTTATGTTACGTAACTGTGGGTGTGCTTATATTAGTCGCCAATTAAGTTAATCAGATCAAGAGTAGTAATATTCAAGTTATGATGTCTTATGAACCTCTTTCATTAGTCGATAGTTTGAATCTTTGAAACTTCAATTTTTTAATTACAAAATGTATAAAAGAGAATTTTCATACAAATTAACATGATTCATTTTTTTGGATATTATACTTGATTTGTACCGGCCGCAGCAGTAGGTGGCATGTAGCTCCCCAATTAGAAGCAGGCTTTATTTAACCATTGTCATATACTGATGTGTAATAGGGTACCTATAGGTGAAATTCCCAGGTCTTGAGACTGGAGTGGGTCATGAAGTGAACATAATTGTCCTCTACATACATTACCAGGTGTAGTAGCTTTTGTAGCTTGATTCCACAACTCAGATGAAGCTGTGTTAACTTAGATATCGAGATTTTGTTACAATAAGACCAATGTTTCTGCACATATTTGTTATTTCTTGCATTTTTCCCCTATAGATTTAAAAGAAACTTTGATACACACATGGGCGTCCATCTAGCTACATTCCATCCCCATATTAAAGTTGTAGCAAGGTTTTTAATAAAATTTGTCTTAGTTGATGTCAGCTACCTACAGATTGCGCTGATCTAAATTACTGATTTCTGCCGATTACATGATTGTTTTTACCAAGTCAAACTGATGGAATGACTTATTATGAGCTATAGCAACTGTTGTGACCCAGCAACTATGTCAATAACGAAAAATAAGGTACAAAATAGAGTTTTAGACACTAGCGCAATCTGTGACTGGCTCACACAACTACATTCTTTTTTTAGTAAAAAATTGGCGACAGTTGAGTCTTCTTCTGTATCCAATAGTCAATACTAATACATAAGGTGGGCTGTGGCTGGGGGTATGTACGGAATGACCCCCCCCCCAGACAATTTTTAAAATTTTGGTACAAAATAGTTTAATTTACACATTTTTTTGTACCAATATTTGCTTTGTCAATTTGATGTTTTACTGCAAAATCAAAAAATGTGGTAAATTTAATTCTCATAGGGGGCTTGTGCCCCTAGCCCATTTGGAGAGACGCCCATGATGCACGGGCTGTCTAATAATCCGTTCATTAGAACAAGAAGAATAACCGTTCTTCTACCAGAGCACCTTAAGAGAGAACAACCCAGTCTGTTCAAGAAGCACCAGACAACATGGCTTATGGATCGGCTGTTCTACTCGGAGGATAAATTCCTAAACAATAAGCTACTAAAAAAAAAATGCTGATTGTAATTGCAAATAATAATTATTTGTACCTGACATATGAATGTTCTCTAGGAATATTTCAATAAAAAATGTGTCTAAATTATCTATTTTCTATTGGGTCCCTTTGTCTTTATAAAAAAACATGAAAGTTCTTGAAAAACCTGTACGGAACAGCTTGAGCACTTGACAAAGCAGTAGGCTTACAATGGAAAGTTGGGACCATTTCACCAATCAGCTGCTACCAATCAGACACTGCATTTGTAGTCAACATCAATAGATTATCCATCAATCAAACTCATCTACGCCTTTCAAGTCAATTGGATTGCTTTTGTAGCACAATTAAGTTTCAGCGCTGGTGATTATTTGGAATATTATTTCTTGAATCAAAGATTTATTTGACCTTGTTATGTACAATAACACATACTTGAATATTTTGCACCTTTTTCCCATCAGTTTGGATAGCTCCGTACTGTTTATACTATAAATGTATAAGTTTATTGTAAATTACTGAGGAGTTTCATGAAATGGAAAAGGTCAAAACCATTTTTGATTGGGCTTTAATGAGTTTGTTAATTTAATGGGGAACAACATAATATAACCGTTGTTGCGTACAAATCTGTTAATTAGTATTGAACAAATCTGACTTGTGTTCTTAATTTTTTTTATGTTTGCAAGTAGCCCAGATTCTAGAGAAAAACAACATTTTGTGAGTTTAAATTTTTTTTATTCAGAAAGCTATATTAAGCATAGCAAGAATACTGTAACAATCATTGGAAGAGGTAATTATTGGCAATCACCAAAGGTAAGGGCAACTAAATGACCACAACAGTGGTTAGAAACACACATGTAGCATAGCACTGTTGGCAAGTGTGTGGCCTGTTAAAATGGGAAGTTCAAAAATAACTATCAGCTGGAGTGGTAAGATTCCAGAAGGAGACATATAAATAGGACTAACAAAACTAACTAGATACGGTAATATAAACAAATATAAAATGTTGTCTAAAAAATAAAATAAAATACTCTCATAAAACTTTGATCAAAACCTAAACTTTTTAGGGATGAATTTAAAAAGTATAAGTAATGATACATTTTAAAGCCACTTAGTAAATTCTATCCACACATATAGTCGAATACTGTCAATATTATATATATATATCAGTTAATCGTGTGAAACTAGAAATTCCAAAAACAGTGTGAAACATTATGAAATAAACAGTCGGGCTAACTTCAAAATAAGAAAAATTAGGTAGTTTCAACAGTAGTAAGGAATGAGTTTTATTACCAAACAAAGCAAGCACAAGCTAAATCAAGTGTGCAAGTGTGTTTTTACATAATTTTATCTGGTTGTACTTGAGTGTGTTTACTATTTAGCTAGTAGAAGGACAGCAGCTGCTAGTGATAATACACTCACAGGCTTATCTTGTGTTCCTTTATCTATGCATGGAGGGATACTGATATAACATTGAAAATTGAATTGAAAATGTTCAATGTATTTTTCAGAATATAAAAAGGAAAATAAATAATACTCCCTCTGGTAGCTTTCTCAATATTTTTTATGTTGGGTCTGGTACTTAGTAAACTGGCTGGTTAAATGAGTGGTTTAAGTGCTCGCCTAGCAATCAAAAGGTTTCGGATTGATCCTAAGAAAAGTTAGTAGCTTTTGATGGTTCAAAACTGGATCAAGCTGTCCCTGATCATTGGGCTTAAAATAAATTTAAAATCCTAGCTAAAGGAACAGCTAATCTCAGCCAGTAACGAAGCTACAAAGATCATGTCACTCTATATTTGACACTCATCCTTCACTCATATTTGGGTTAAAATACTCACATAGCTGTGTGTTTATTAATTAATTGATAAAAATAATTTAAAAAAATGTATACGTGTGTCAGCTTACTCCAATGTCTTTTGATTTTGACTCTCTCTTAATAATTTAGAATACAATTTAACCTTATGTATTTTTTGAATAACCATCTCACTTAGTTTTAGTTCCCATGACTCTATTTCATGTAACTATGTTTGCATATTATGAAATAAAGATATTTTGATTGATTGATTGATTGATTGAATGTAAAGAAAAGCCAGACAGAAGACTTTTTGTCTTCAATTACTTCTGTTAGAATTGATGATGGCAAGAGCATATTACATTTTAAAATGGTAGTTTACCTTAAGTTGTTGTTTGTTTTAATCGATGCATCTAAATCAACAACACCCAAAAACTAATGATGAACTCTGTATGTTGCAGTTTGAACAAGGAAACAACAGTAGACATGGATGTGTTGAAGGCGCTGGTAGATGACTCGCCTAACTTGGCTACAGCTGTTGGGGCGACGGTGGAGGAGAGAGTGGGTGGTGAGGCGTGGTATGGCTCCATGGCTGTCATGGCATCGCCAACCACCAAGAAGCGGCGAGGCAGCTCATTGAAACAGGTATAATGTCAAATTTATAAATTTCACCCTGTCTATGTTATGTAGACTCCATAGATAAGTACCGTAAGGCACAGAGAAAACTTGCTTGCAGGACAAACGTGCACTTTCAGCTCTAGTATGATGTGCTGGAGATATTTTGCCATAGACACCAGCAACTAGTGGTAGACACCACTTTAGTGTAACATTGAATGTTTCTATGTTTCGTCTGTACCTTACTTCTCTATGGTAAATAAATAAATTCCCTTTATTTAGCAAGCGTTCCTCTGTACATACTGCTTTACAGGATAACTCTTGTCAATTTACTAATCTATATAAAATCCAATGTATGTTTGCTTGTTTGTCTTTTATGGACTATGAAACCGCTCGACAGATTGTAATGAAACATTCAGGCATTATTAAGCATTATTCAAGGATGGGTTGTGTGAAGTTTGGTGTAGATTCGACAAAAGGGCTAATCAATTGATTGCAAAATTTGAACCGGACAAGAAAGCGAGCTAATAAAAACGTTTTAAAAAGGATCCTTCTGACAAAAAAGTGTTTAAAACCACTGTAAAAACCCCTCCAACTTCTTTAAAAAAGTTTTTTTGCAGGTATTGGCGGCCCTATCTGGAAATCTTGGGACCATTAACACAGGAATGATGTTTGGCTTCTCAGCTGTTACGATTCCTCAGTTGCGTTTACCTGAGAGTTTCATTCAAATCACACAGGAGGAAGCATCTTGGATCGGTAAGTCTTCTCCAAATCACAAATCAGAAGACTTATTTGGATACCATAATTAAAATATTTTTAACAAATGCTATTACAGTTTTGATTATGTGATGGTTTATCCTCTTTGAAATCACCGGTACCTCAAATTTGTGATTAAAGTTGTGTTTATGTTTTGCAGCTAGTTTATCATCAGTATCTACACCTTTTGGCTGCATCTTGAGTGGCTACTTGTTGGATGCTATTGGTCGCAAGCGAACTATCATCCTGACATTGATGCCCATGATAATCGGGTGGTTCCTCATCTACGCAGCTTCTAGTATCTACATGATCTATGTCGGCAGGCTGCTGGTAACAACTGCATTTTCCAATTCGTTTTTAATTCTAACTTAAAAAATATTTGGAACTAAGACCTTAGGGGTTGGTTTTTACAGAGGAGAGTGATTTGGTAGTGGTACCTTGAGAATGATGCAGGTCTTGAGAGGTGATAAGGTCCAATAATTTTGTTCTTTATGGACCTTTATTTGACATCCTTAATCCTAAATATATTTTCAATTCAAAAAACCTTTAAAGCTTAAATTGCTCAATTCTGCCAAATATTTGAACTGTTGATGGCACTTTTTCATGTAAGTATATTGGCATACATCTTTAAAAATTCATATTTTAAAGAAAATCCACTTTATTTTACGGACAATTTGCAGAGTTTAGCTAGTTTACCAGAGACAATACGAGTAGGGGAACTGATTGATTCACAATAAGTCCTGTATTTAAATATGAGTGTTATGTTCTGTTACCTTTTATTGGGTATCTTTTAGCCCCTCCCTGGACTCTAATTTTCCCAGGAAAGCTTGCCAAACTCTATTCCTTTCCAAAAAAGTCCTAAAACACATTGCAGAGGTCTATGTGATTGTCGTTTTAAATGTCTTGTACTAAGTAGCAATATGTTCAATATGTTTACCATGTAAATTTTTGTTCAATCATTCAAGTAATTAATACCCCAAAGTTGTTTCATCAGAGTCATATTGCAAGTAACTCTAGAAATGTCACTACACTCCTGACTGCCTCACAGCACAGAAAACATATTACTATAACCCAGAATGCCAACCGCATGGTAAAAAGCATTAAGAGTTTTGAGAGAGCTTTGCCTGTCAATCGTAGGCAGCGCCACCAGCGTTGCTATGCTGAGTGCATGGCAACGCTGGTGGCGCTGCCTACGATTGACAGGCAAAGCTCTCTCAAAACACTTAATGCTTTTTACCATGCGGTTGGCATTCTGGGTTATAGTAATATGTTTTCTGTGCTCACAGTTCTGTAATATTGAAAATATTCATTTAGTATTTGTTATTTGATTTGTAGGTTGGTCTGGGGGCTGGCATGATGGGGTCTCCAGCCAGGGTCTACACGGGGGAGGTCACTCAGCCCCACCTCAGAGGCATGTTGGCTGCAGTTGCATCTGTCGGAGTATCTTTAGGTAACATTTACTTCCATCATGGTTAATAATCATAGTTACTGTACATTTATTAAGGTTACCCTTGGATGAGATAAGAAAATACATCACCGATTCAACCAATGAATTCTGGATGCTGATGTAGACATCACATTTACATGAACCAGCTGTAGCGAACATGAATAAGCCACTCATCATGAATATCTGCAGGAATTGTTTTCACAGGCTACAATAAAGTATCTTGTTTCTGGGGTTAAAGAATGTGCTCCATCAAAATTGTAAATATAAAACACTTTATAACATTATTTTTTTATGTCTAAAAGCCGGAATCATCTTTAAAAACCTTTCAGTTTTCTGTTCTTCAAAAGGGTAAGAAGTCTTCTCGTACTATTCAAAATCAATTATAATAGACATGCTCTCATAATATTTGTGTCTGAATCAGTACCTAGTAAATTATTATCAAGCACAGCCTGTAAATTTATGGCTAAAACTATAATAATAATTATAAATTATTATTAATAATTATTTTTTAGTTATTAAATTTTATTTTTAAATATTTGTTTGTATTGTTAACCTGTTCATTTCAATACTTTCACCTTTATACATCATGAGCAAATAATGATAAGAGTGAAATCATATATGAGACACATGACTCATTGAGTGGAAATTTATCAAGGCCTAGAAGATAAGATTGCAAAAGATGAACATTTCCTAAAATAAAAGTTTGCAAGTTTAATGTGGTGATATAAAAAGTTTAAAGCCTGTTTCTTAAATCATGTGTTTAGTTTTGTTTGTTAACGTTTTTAAGTGTTTGTAAACAACAACAGTATGGCTGATCTTTATAATGAACTAGCAGAGCTATAATGAACAAGCTTTGCGTTTGCAATGGGGGAGGACATAGTTTGATAAAATCTGTTTCTTTAAATTTACTGTATACTATAATATTACACATCTACCATAGCCATAATGTTCTACCACTTCACCTAAACAATAGAGAAAAATGAATTATTAAAAATTCACAAAATATCACAAATTATTCATGAAATTAAAAACATTAACATAACTACACACAACACAAACACATACATAATCCTACTGTGACAGTTATCATTGCGTATCACAGTTTTTGGTTGTTAGTTCAAATTACCTGTTTTCATAAATGCAAAAAAAATAATAGTGCTGCACCCTGTTGGTAAATCTTCAGTGGCGTCATTTCACCAAATCCTTGGGGGGGGGGGGGGCAAACACCGGGGATCCAGAAAATGGGGCGGGGGGTCCGGGCAGTTGTTAAACAAAAAAAAGAAGGGTCTAAGCTTATTTTAATTGTCAAAAGACTCCATAAAACACAAGAGGAAATTCCCAGATTGAAAGATTTAAAGGAACTATATGGAGAACCATTCTCCTTGCACTGAAAACGCATAACCTGCCAGTTACCTCATGGGAAGATGTGCTGCGCGAGGCATTTAACTCTGTCAGTTTGCTATTGTGTACTGCGACTAATTGTACACCTAATATTATAAATATCATAAATATGAATCAGGGCTAATTTACCGAATAGGCATGGTGGGCACGTGCCTAGGATGCGACACAATTTGTATTTTGGGGGGTGCCAAAAAATTGGAAAAAAAAAAAAATTGTGGTTGTATTTGCATGTAATCATGGTAAACAATTATGATAATCCCTCGCTGTGTAAACATCGCAATCGTCTCCCGTGATCGCGGGAAAATTCTGACTATTTATTTATGTCGTGTAGACATAATAATCGTCATCCATGATCGCAGCAATATATGAACATATTTCCCATGGTAGTGAGGAGATTATCATTGTCTACTGTGAATGAGGCAAAATTCTGATTTTTCCCACGGTCGTGTGGACATTATCGTCTTGCGCGTAGTAAAATTCTGATCATCCCCCGCAGCCGTCAAGAAATCATTATATCATCTCCTGCGGTCGTGTGGATACTGGACATAGTAATCGTCCCCCGCGATTGTGGCAAATTGCCAATCATTTCCCGTACTCGTGTGGAGATCATCATCATCATCCGCGATCGGGGCAAAATTCTGACTGTTTCCCGTGGTCGTGTGGACATTATCATTGTCTTCTGTGATCACGGCAATATTCTGTTCATCTCTCGCGGCTCTGTAGATATCATCATTGTCTTGTGCGATCGCGGCAAAATCATGATCAAATCTTGTGGTTTTGTAGACATTATAATCATCTTATGCAATCGCGGCAAAATCATGATCAAATCCCGTGGTTGTGTAGACATTATAATCGTCTTGGCAAAATTCTGATCATCCCTCGCGGTATTGTGTAGACAATAGACATATTATCGTCTTCGGCGGTCATGCAAACTTCACTGTTGTCATGCGCGATCGTGGTAAATTGAAAATTCCATGTAGAAATACAAAATTCACACGTATTTCCCGGTTCAAAAAAACTCAAACATAATTCCCGGTTTTCTCAGTCGGTGGACACCCTGTTAAATATATTGCAATGAGGTGCTACTATTAGTTGTCCCTAGGGTGCTGACAGGGTCAAGAAAGGACCTGATATGAATATTCAAATTCTGAACTGATTTTAAAGCTGTTGCTTTTGCAGGAGTCACAATTCAGTACATTGTGGGTGCCTTTGTGTCATGGAACAGCCTCGCTCTCTTCAACGGAATCGTTCCTTCGATCGGTCTTATGACGGCGTTCTTTTTGCCAGAGTCACCATCATGGCTCCTCAACCAAGGCAAGACAGAAGCTGCTCGGAATGCCCTTACCAGGCTTAGAGGTTGGTACTGCCAAGTGTTTATTAAAATAAAATATGAGAAAAGTAACGTTAAATATTTTTTCCTTTGTAAAAAGGTCATATATAAAATTTGAATAATATGTGTAATTTATAGCACTTTTCACATTTGCGTATTGGAATCATATTCAACATTTTTGGCACTCTAAACAAATATTTAATCAAATGCAATTTTGAAGAAAATATTTTGAATGCTATTTTTTGTTGTGGTGAAAATAGTGTTTCTAACAACTGTCGGATGGATTATTTTTTTAATGCCAGTGCATTTTGCCACAGTTTACAGTTAATTCAAAAAATGAAATATTATTGATAAGTAACTTTACTATGTTGTATTATCATTTTTTTCTGAAAGAAACAGAATATTTTAATATTATTTGTAAGGCAATAAAACTTTATCACAATTTATGACCTCTTTAATTAAGGTTATACAAAAAAATGTCAAGCTATACAGGGTGATCAACTCAAGGAGGCCACCATTGGCATATCGGAAACGGTAAGAATTAGAGAAAACTTTAAAAGGGGAACATTCCTTTATTTTTTGTGGCATTTAAAAATATGATTTTATTTTTTTGAAATTCAGCCGCCATTTTCCCCCCATTTAAAGTTTTCTCTAATTCTTACCGTTTCCGATATCCCAATGGTGGCCTCCTTGAGCTGGTCACCCTGTATATATTTTTATGGGTCATATAAAAAACACATAAAAAATTATGTTTCTTTATATTGACTATATTTTGTAGGAAATCTAATCTGCTTTTTGGATATCAAACAAGGGTACTTTGGAAATATACGGAGGCTACTTATTTTACAGCCCACTGCAGCGGTTATGTTAGGTTGGATTATCATAAATATGTTTGTAGGACTTTCCTCATTTCGTTAAAAATCAAAAGATACCAGATGAGTCATACTTTCTATTATTGATAAAAAAACGTAACCCAACCGTATAACACCAAAGTACCCAAAAGTACTGTTTGTTACAAACCAAAAATATTAAGGGGTTGTTAGCACAATAGCCAACATCCAGGGGTGCCCAGAGGGGGGGGGGGTACTGTGGCGCGTTTGCGCCACAGGAATTTTTGGGGGGGACTTTTTTGAGGGGATTTTGGGGGGGATGTTTTTTGCTAGCTGTCATAATGAATGAAAAATTTTGTATAAGCAGCCCGAAAAAGTGTTTCTAAGTAGCTCACTATCAACACCAACAACATTTTGCCATTCGTAATTAAGATTTGCTTCTAAGAATGGTAAAAACGCACCTTGTCAGACAATCCTTCATATACCAGTGTCAGTGTCGAATTTTATTTGCTACATATGTTTTGGTGGTTCTTTACCTCCACCACACAAAACACGAATCGATTACAGATAGGCCTATCAATTCACGCGTATATATTGCCGTCGTCAGCACTGGAAGTAAACTGAATCAGGTTCAGGTTATGACGGACAGACGTGGTCTCTGGATTGTCGTCTGCATTGTCACCAGCTGATATAGGACTATTGTAGTGACTGAGAAGAGTGTTAAAAGTATAATGGGATTCATAATTAATTGAGTGTTTTCACTCAAAAATTTTGCGCTGTCCCTAGTTTTATGTATTTATATATTTCAAACTCCTCAAAGTATTTAATAAATTTCCTTTCGTGCAGTACTGTAGAATTTCGAGACCATAATTTATATCCAGCAGATAAATTGGTTATTATTGTCAATAATTTTAAATGGAAAACTCAATTATGAATCCCATTATATTTTCAACACTCTCCTCCGTCACTACAATTAGTCCAATATCAACTTTTGATAACACAGACGACAATACAGAGACCACGTCTTTCCGTCATAACCTGATTCAGTTTACTTCCAGTCCTGCCCGCGGCAATATACTCACGTGAATTGATAGGCCTATCTGTTATCGTTTCGTGTATAAACAGATTGTCTGACAAGATGCGTTTCTACCATTATTAGTCATAAAAGGCAATCCTGGGGCTATCAAAATTAATTATAAGATTACTTCGTCACAAAAACCTTTTGTGGGTATTTTGCCTGGCGATTTTTGTAGAGTAAAATCGAGTTTTTGGAGTGTGTTGTTTGGAGTGGCGGTGTTTGTAGAGCCAGGGAGTGGCGAGCAACAAGTCTGTCTTATTTCGTGACTGCCTATAATTTTGAAAAAAAAAAACTTTTTGCCAAAGTATTATTAATGCATTTTTAAAGCGGTTTGATTTCTTAAAATTCTTCTCTGAGATTCTTTCTCTGTAAAATTTAACGCCACCTAATAATATATTGTACAGTTACAATACTGTGTTGGAGTAGAGTAATTCACCTAGTATATTGTTGTACGTTTTGAAGACGTTGTCTATTGCAATACTGAGCACATGTTAGCTGACAATAGAGATTCTGAAATGTAAATTGAAACACTTCTAATTCGTCCATTAGTTAGATATACCTAATGAAGTATTGTTAAATGTTGTTCGTTTCCTATTAAACATTTAATTTTTTATTATCAGCAAGTTTGTTTTTCTTTACCTCAAGTTTACTAAATACTAAATTGGAATGCTCGTTTTATGAGGTAAAGGGAAAATTGTCAGATAAATTGGTGGGGGGAGGGTAGGTTTAAATAGACGGCAGCATAAATTGGGGGGGGGGAGAACTACTCCTTTGGCTTGGGGGGGGGGGGGGTTGCGCCTCTGGGTTTGGGGGGGATGGGCACCTCTGCCAACATCTTTATCTTTACATCCATGATCATTTAAATTAATCAGTTGATTATATAAGCCTTAATGTAAATTCTGGATCTGATAGCAGTACATCAGAAAAGGACCCGATTGGCCATAAAATGACCGATCAGCTGTTCTAGGGTTGAAGTTGAAAGTGAACAAATTAACTTTATCTCAGCAGTCCTTGTGTCAAACCTGACATAAACTCCCACTGCAGGACGACTAGGCTTAATGTACTTTCCAGTTAAAAACCTACATTGATGCTTTGCAATTCTAACAACAGAGGACAATTAACAGGGTGAATTCCAAACAGTTGACTTCCTTCTGCAGTTTTCTACGTATCCAATGTCCCTAATGTATTAATGTTGTGCGTGTGTTGTGTGTCTAAATGTGTGTGTGTGTTCTATGTATGTTTCAATGTCAATTAAAAACAGAACTTGAGATGGTCTAACACAGTTCATTGTTCTTTTTCAGTTCTAAATATATTTTATACTATTCCTCAAATCAATATGTCTCGACAGGCGACACCTGTGACATTGAAGGGGAACTTCAGGACCTGATTAACTTTGCTAACAAGACCAACTCCAACAAGAAGAGTTCAATGAAAGACACCCTTAGAGCCATTCTTCACCCCTCGGCACTCAAGCCTTTCCTCATCCTCGCCTCGTACTTCCTCATCTACCAGTTCTCCGGAGTGAATCCTGTCACGTTCTATGCCGTTGAAATCATCCAGGTAAGTCAATAGAGATTATTATGTCTAGTTAAAGTGTATTAAGTGTTAGTTGTTTGTAGGACAAAAAAATAGTAAACAAAGTACTCTTAATTATCGGTGACACCCACAGAGCATAGAATAAATATAGAGGCAGCACTTGCCGTCTGGAATGAAGCAGGCTTCTCGTACCAAGATGGCAGCCGGCCCGGTCTGCATTTACATTTAAACCATTATATTGTTACCATGGAAACCACCAATCAATATTTACTTTTAAGACTCTCACCTCAGAACATTGAAAGCCCGCGGGCAGAGTCCTAGGTCAATATCGAAGGGGGGAAGTTCTCTATGTATCCTCGGAGCGGTAGCTTCATCTAATTCATAAAGTAGCATAGAATAACACAGTGGTAATGACGCTGTGTTTTCAAAGTTCCGAGCCCGACTCTCTTACCAAGATGGGGGAAATCGGCTTTACTGCTGGTATAGCTGAGTGGCGACTCTATATTTATTCTATGCTCCGTGGTGACACCTTAAAATGGTCTTCAGCTGATGGTAGGCAAACATATTATCTACTAGCAGAGTACCCGTCCTTCGTACGGGGTTGGAATATAAGTATAAAATGCTTATTGCAGTTGTTATACTCAAGCTTTGCGTTTGCAATAAGGGAGGACACAGTTTGATAAAATTTGCTTTTTTAAATTTACAGTATTCCATAGTATTACACATCTACCATAGCCATTATGTTCTACCACTTCACCTAAACAATAGAGAAAAATAAATGATCAACAATTCGCAAAATATCACAAATTATTCATGAAATGAAAAACATAAACATAACTGTAAACAATCCTACTTTGACAATTTGTCATTGCGAATCACAGTTTTTTTTTCTGCTTAGTTCAAATGAGCTGTTTTCATAAATGCAAAAAAAATATAGTGCTGCACCCTGTTGGTAAATCTTATAACTTTTTAATGCTTTTCCATATCATAGAAACCTTTTTTTTAGAAATGCTTTTTTAGTTGAAACAGCTGACTAAATTCTTTAATTCCCTTTAAATATGAATACTAAGGTTAACATGGGGAATTACAGAGCCACTGGGGCGGAGCCCAAAAGGATTTTTGAGATAAGAATATGCCTATATGTTAATCGGGAATGTAAGCTATCATCATGCCAAATTTCAGCCCAATCCGTCCAGTGGTTTATGCGTGATTGAACTTCAAACACACAAACAAACAAACAAACAAACACACAAACTTTCACATTTATAATATTAGTAAGATCTTTGAATTTGAACGGATGGTGTTTTTGTCCTCTGGGGACCTTAAAACAAAAAAGTAAATCAGTCCCGGGTCCAGGTCTTACCATGAGACCTACGGTAATAGCTTATTCCCTATATGGGAAATTCGCTAAAACAAAATAGTTTTTCAAAAATAATTTCTCTTATTGGTACTAAAACTTTAATTCTGTCATTTATCTCTTTATTTTTTACTATTTCAAATGGGTTGTTTTCTAGGACTCTGGAGCAGATATGAACAAATACATGGCCACCATAGTGTTAGGTCTGGTCAGATTGGGTTTCACTGTCGTCTCTTGCATCATGATGCGACGATGTGGTCGACGGCCGCTCACATTCATCTCTAGTAAGTCTATGTGATATCTTATATGGGTTCTTACTTCATATGCATTTTCCAAAAGTTACATCCATGTGTGATAAAGCATAAGCAATAAATGTAAAATGATTATCCCCATTATTGACTACAGAAAAATCCTTGGTTCTACAGCAATCAACTTAATATTTGACGTTAGGGACCCAGCAAAACATTGAACAAGATTAGGATTCTATTATTTTCCCAAATACATCTAATATATTGATAACTAGCAGAGTAACGTCCATCGTACAGGGTTGGTGTTAAGTATAAAATGCTTATTGAAGATATACTCGTGCTTTGCGTTTACAATGGAAGAGGACACAGTTTAATAAAATTTACGGTATGCTATAGTATAGCACATCTACCATAGTCATAATGTTCTACCACTGCCCCTAAACAATAAAAAAGTGAAATTCTCATTTTTTACAGATTTTTTTGCTAGTTGGTTCAAATTAGTGTTTGTCATAAGTGCAAAAAAATTAATAGTGCTGCACCCTGTTGTTAAACCTTATAACTTGTTTAAATACTATTTAAAATCATAGAACTAACTTGTGTAATTGAAACAGCTTTTATTCCTTTTAAATATGAATACTCATAAGGTTGCGAATCCTTCAATGAAAGTTTTATTAAAGTTTCTTGGATGTAGTCATATTCTTTTAAAATCACTTATCTTTTATGAAGACATATTTTTAATGTCCTTGCCAGTTGCCACACCAGTTCAATTCAGCCTTAGAGGGTTTTCCTTTGCCAATCATCATAAAGTTAAGTCCATGTTTCCTACACAATAGTAGCACTTCAGCTAACATCCTTGTTCATTGTTTGTGGGGATCATCATATTTCAGGTGTTCTTCATTATATAGGTTGATGACGATAGTAAATTTTTTTAAAATTTATTTCTTCTACTTGGTTGCGTTCTATTAGTTTCATATGTTTCCACGGTTAACACCATGGAACATCATTTCTTTCAATGATTGCTCAAGAAATACAGTACTATATCAATTCATTTTTCTTATTTGGTAAAACATCAAATTGTCCAGGCGTTCTCGATTTTTTACATTGTAATATGTACAAACGTAAATTAAAATAGTAAATATTTAATTTCAACAAAATCAGTAAATATATGCAATGTGTTTCATTGAATTGAAAAATAAATAACAGCAATTAAATTAAACGGCTTATCAAAATGTAAACAATTATGTTCTTCATAAGGATAACATGGCAACTTTTAAAGCCAATGGGGCAGAGCCCAAGGGACTTTTTCAAAAATGTAAGGTCACTGGTCAGTTTGCAAATCTATGCAACACGTTCTTTCCAATGTGACGTCAATGGATAAAATTGGTTAAGAAATGGCGGAAGAGTTCAACCGACAAATTTCGTTTTGGCGTATTAATTATATAGATACTGTAAAACTAGGGATAGTGGTCTTACTTACTTGATTGATAAAATCTAATCTATTTATTCCTTGCCAGGTGTGTTCTGTGGCTTGTCAATGTTTGGCCTGGGCTACTACATGTTCCTTGCAGAAGGCTGGAAGGAAGAAGGCGCCACAGCCATCGCCGCATGGTTCCCACTTCTCAACCTGTTCATCTTCATGGCAGCATCAACCATTGGCTACCTGGTAGTTCCGTGGGTTATGATTGGAGAACTCTACCCTTCTAAGGTAACACATGATTATATGACATATACTATTAGTATTAGAATTTTCATTGTTTGTAAGAAATTGTCCTATTAAGCTATTAACTGTATACATGCTCTGCTCCTGGGTGAGGCCGAGAGAATAGTTAAGAGGTTTTACTGTAGAAAACAGTTACACAGCCTCTATTAGATACAGAACTGTAGATTTTGTAACATTATTAAAAACTAAGGATATATCATAGACAAAAATAATTAAATATAGACAGTCAGCTGTGCTGCGGTTGCCATAGGTTCTGGCCCACACCACTGGGAGTGCTATGTAGCTACGGCCCACGCGCTTCGTAACTACACACACGGCGTTCCCAGCGGTGTGCGCCAGAACCTATGGTAACCACTGCATGGCTGACAGTCTATATTTAATTCTTTTTGTCTATGGTTTTAACTTAAACTTATTGTGCCAATCCGCCTTACGACGTAACTACATGGCACTCTTAGCGATGGGTGCCGGAAGCTTCCTTTGACAGTCTATATTTATTCTATTTGTCTATGGTTTTATGTACAGAATATAAGACTTCTCTTTGTGTTGCAGGTACGTGGTATTATGGGAGGCATGACTACATTCGTGGGCCACTTCTGCGTGTTTGTGGTGGTCAAAACTTTCCCGTTCTTCCAGTCGCTGAGCAAGTACGGGACTTTCATGATGTACGGCACAGTTTCTCTCCTCGGCACAATCTACTTCTACCTCTACCTACCAGAAACCAAGGGACGTACGCTGCAAGAGATTGAGGAATACTTCTGTAGCAAGGACAAAGGAATGACTACCAATCCAACTAATAACAACAACAAACCTACGATTGTCAAACCAAAAAAAGACGGATCATTGCCTTAAGTGCAACACATTGTGATATTTTGTATAGTTCTCTGCTTTGCGTCACATTTATGTGAATGGTTTTTAGAGGTTATATCTACCTTAATTGTGAAACATTGTTATCGATGACAGTATCGTAGACTGATGTTTGTTGTTGAGTTTTTACTGGTACGTAAAATATTGTGGCTCGTGGATTCTACTACAATGTAATAAACTGAATGAAATGTAAACATTTTTGTAATATAACTGAATATAAGTTTTTACACAAAAACTAATGTTTTGACAAGATTCAAGTTTTTAAGGTCAAAGTTAAGTGTGGATATTGTTATAGAGATATGCAGTTAAATTGAAAACACTTTGTGAACAATGAACCTCCTCATCTGGTGGCCTCTTCATATAAAATGCTTATTGCCTGTGACATTAATTTTCCAAGTTTTTAACTTTCCAATTTTTTGTCTTATTTTTCATCATCTAAGTACTAACTTAATACACATTTTAACAAATAATAATAAAAAAGAGGTTGTGATTTTAAAATGAAAGCAATATGAAAATGGCATGGATAATAAATTCAAATCACAAATCACCATGTTAAAGTATACATACATACCGATTTTGATTTAAAAAAGCCATTTTATGTTTTGCCTAAGTTAACTACCATGTCAAAGTTAAATTTGGCTAAACAGTATTATGAGTCAATAAGTTAGTTTCATATCTGTAAATATTCTGCTTATATAGTATTAACAAGACTGATGACATATTACGTAGGATAATGAATTGTAAATATATTTATGTGTGATAATAGATAATGTTAGAACATATAATATTTTGTCTTGTAAGCTATTTTTATACTCATTAATGCATGTTTACCAACTTCTTGGATGTTAAATCTATTCGGGCTTTAATATTGTTTTGTAATATCTCGAGAAACATGATGCATACAAATGAAGATTAAAAAAATAACCAAAGCAAGTGACAACCTACTTATACTATCAGTAGGCTTGAGATAGGATGATTATCAATCAAATAAATAAGTTTACACAAGGCAACAACTGTTATACTTTATTTGCAACCCTAGTAAATTCTGACCACACTATAGTTTACACTGTAAAGTATTATGACTTTGGTAAGTTTTTCAAATAATCTTTAACATAAGGACTCATACTTGCTCTTCTTTTCTCGTCTGCCTTGGCTTCTTTTTCCTTTGCTTCTTTCTCTTCAATCAGCTGTTTAATGATGAACTCTGGGTAACGTACTCCATGCCAGTGTTTAGGTAGATCGACTACCTTTGACTTGGCAATTTTGTCAGCTGTATACTTGACTGGATCAAAGGCTTCAGCCAACTTGATTTTTTCGATTAGGCCAGCTTGAAAGAGCTTCTCCTTTCGCATTTCCCTCCTTTGTCTTACTTTAGCCCACTCAAATTTCATCTTTTTTCGAAGCTTTTTCAACTTATGTTTCCTCATTTTTCTCCGTCTTATAACAATTAATCTCGCAGCTTGTTTTTCAAGTACTCCCGGTCTACTAGGATCTTCTACAGTTTTGTTGGGTGTTTGTTCTTCGTAACTTATCCTGTTCTGTATTTGTGGAAGTTGGATGTTCCATGGTACAGACGGTGGTGGGGGAGGTATTCTACTCTTGGCAGGGTCTCCTAGAGGAGGGGTTCTTATAGTGTTGATGTTCAAAGCTGCCAATGAAAGCTCAAGGTCTGATGCCAAAACTGGTAATTTTGCAGCACATTTCACAGATGATTGATTCAACACATGTTTCCCAGAGATCAAATCTTTCAGAATAAAACCTGAAACAAACAAAAGATTTAAGGGCTTGGAATAGTTATTTGTGTAACTAGTGGTGAAAGTGGCACTTTGCTGCACACGAGAGCAATGTTTACGCTCGAGCCGCAGGCGAGTGCGGAATGATCTCGAGTGCAGCAAAGGCCTTTTTCACTCGTGTTACACATTATATTTTTCCTACCGTCACTATAAAGCATATAAATAATTAATCTTTCAAACACTATACAACACGTTTTTAGGTTCAGCTGGCAACACAAATGGTGCCCTAGAGAAAGTAGTACCCCCGGTCCGTATCACTCCGCTATTTTTCCTTGGCAATAAATGTGCTCCACGTTTTGAGAATATAGTTCTGTATGTTTTTGTAATTTTAAGTGGTTTCCGCGCCTAAAAAAAAATGCTTTAAAGGTATTTTCTTGTTTATTAAGATCGTAGGAATGTTTTAAAAACGTTTAAAAGAAAAGTCCAGAAAGTTCAGAAATACCGAAACTATAAACACGAAATGACAGGTTAAATCATAGTTATAATAGTCAATCAGCTGCTCATAGTATTATTATCTTTAAGTGTTGCCAACCTATTTCCAAGCGTACACGGATTACGTGCATAATAGAACCACGCTGTTTTGTGTTGTTTCGTTGGAATCCTGATGTGCGGCAAAGTATAAACCGTACGACAAAGTATAAACCGTACGGCAAAGTATAAATATGCAGCATTTAGCAGCTTTCTGTACTATAAACAGTACAAGGAAGCTAACTTTGTCGGGTGACTGTCGGAAAAATACTTTTATATAATTTTTGGTATCTTGTGGAACTTGTGGAAGTAAGCTAGCAATGATACAGTAATAAACAAATAGTCACTGTAATATTTTTTTCCTTCAATATTTTATGTGTATATTTTCTTGGCAATCCTTATTTTTTAAGGCAGTCATGTTTATTATAATTAATAAATTCTTTTCTCTAGCCTATATGAAATTTTTATCCAAATTCTGACAATCAATTTTGTTATTTTCAAGATTTTTTGGAAATTTTTTGTACTGTAGAGAACAGAAATATTATTGTTTTTGATTTTGTGTCATAGTAATAACAATTTGAAGGCTAATCTTTTGTACTGGATTCATGTTTTATGAATTCAGCCTCAAAATCTCAATCGTATATAGTTTGGTACTTGGTGTAACTACAATAACACATGGTGTTATTAAAAAACACAGTAATGTTGTCTATAAAACCTTACATTATATAAAGTTGTGGAGTTATTCTTAATGTAACTTAATTTTTACATTAAGTGAAGTGAAAAGACACGAAGAACAAGAAACCCACTCAACCTCCCTTCATGCAAAGCACATAGAAATTACATTACATCAACTACTGCAATTTGTTTTTTATGCAATTTTGAGTTATGGAAGGAATAGGGATACTAATTGGTGACACAGAACCTTTACTCTCTATTTCCTAATTGTAATACAACTGCAAACGTTTATGTTACAGGACAACTATTACAGTGAGATAAATTATATTCATATAGGATACGATTTTCTATTTCTATTTGATATTTATGTATAACATGATATGACTGCTTAGAATCACAGTTCATACAACTTGTTTAAGACTTCCTAGAAAGAGTTCACAAATATTTCATTTCCTTTAACATTTCTTAACTTAAGTTAGTTTTATTACAGTAAATACATGCCAATTTCCCAGGTAACATGAAAAACATGACACTGTGTTTGAAAACTATTTTACGGTTCACACCATTTGGAATTACGCGGGTGGTTTTTAAAGTAAGGGCCGTTTTTCAGTATAGCCTAAATCCGTAGTTTGTTTGTACGCATGGCGAGACTCCTCGCCACTTAGTGACATAATTTGTTAACAGAATTACACCATTTGCAGCTCTGTTGTAGCTGACATGTACGATTCACTGTGTGTTTTCAAAATTGGTTAAACTATCGAATCTCCCACCGTCTGTGAGACGAGGTCAGTATGCTTTTTACTACAAGAAACACAGCAATTGATATTTTGAAAACAAAAACATTAAAAAACTACTTGAAGCTGAAATATAGTTGTAAATATAATCATTAAGTACCGGTAGCTATATAAACAGTTAAATATTAACATTGTAAACATCTCATTTTATGTACGTTTTAAGTTTATTTACTTTTTAAATAGTTAAAATTTTGAGTCAGCTGTTTATGTTAAGTTAGTTTTTTTTTTTTTTTTTTAAAGAGGTTGGCGGCCTCTTTTAACCTTGCATTTGCCTGTCCACATAGACTAAGCGCCCGTGCGTGGATAGTTTACAGCAAAGCAAGGAGTGAGCCGGTACAGTACAAAGGTGAACTGTACTGATAAAAATGTTATTGGCAGTGACCAGGATCCGAACCCACGACATCGCTGCCTTGGGCCCGAAGTCCGCGACGCTACCGACTGAGCCACCGACTCACTCTGATAATCACTCCTCTTTCTGATAGTTGATTCTGTTGTAAAAAAAAGTCTCCTCTAATTCAAGAACAGCGAAACAAAAGAGCAATGCTACAGTCTTGGCCTATTGTGACAGCTGTAGAGCTAATTCATATGGAGCGTAGCTACGTAGTGCTAATGTTTGTCTATACACTACTTATCTGTTAAGGCAGTGACACACTATCGTTCTTTTCCCCGAACAAGACCCCGAACCCAGCAGGGAGAAGGGAGGTCGAAGGGAGCATGTTCGATAGTGTGTCAGGGGTCCGTACACCGATCCAGACATCAGGCCGAGCAGGGAGACGAGCGCTCTGGAGGCGGTTTTTTGGCGAAAGATCAAAGAAAAGATTGGTCCGATGTACGGAGTGATGTACAATAGTGTGTCACGGTACATTTTTGCCCCGTACGCCGTCGCGAGTGCGCGCCGAGCGGCCGCCTGTGCTAGCGTTGAGTTATAATTTAATATGGCAATTAGACCCTTTAATCGGTAAAATAAATAAATGTTGGGTAATATGTTGCCGTTATATATTATGATCATTTAAGATGTAATGATGTGGTTTGTTTGGTCAAGGTTTAAAATGTAGAAACCGTTAAATCAATTATATCAATAATTTTAAAGTAAATTAAGTAATTGATGTTGTCTTAAATTCTATCAAAATTAATATAAACATTAATATTATTAAAGGCAATTAAAATCATTCTGTAACGTTATTTCAGTGAATAAAACCAATAAAAATCAATACATATAACTAAGCATCCTTTCTAGAATATTTTATTTTGCGACAAGTTTTCAAAAAGCGACTTTTAACGCGCTCTCACTCGCACACACTCTCCATCTCTCTCTAAACTCCCTTTTGCCGCGCTCGGTAGAATTCGTCTGGTCTTGGTCTTGTTCGGGGAAATGTTCGGAGTGAAATTTTGCTGATATTTATCTCCCATCTCACTGCTCGGTTCGGGGTGTTGATCGGGGAAAAGAACGATAGTGTGTCACCGCCTTTAGATATACTGTTACTACTACATGGCAACAAAAGCAGCATAAGCCGGTTGGGTGCGGGCTTGTATCAGAGGAGGCTATGAATGTTATGGTGGATCCCATTAGCATAATGTCAACAATTTTAATTGTTGTGGACTTGAATTTTTATTTCTTTAGCCTATTCAATCCTTCCCAATGTTTTCAAAATCACCGGCCTTAGTAAGTTTGCCTTGAAATAGACTCAGCTGTTATTATGTTGTGCTGAAACAAAGCAAAGAGCTTCCCTTTCTGCACAATTGTCTTTTTATATTCTCCCCCTATACCATGGTAGGCTAAATGTATTTACTGATATTATATTTAAATTTTACTAGCCGGCCCGAAAGACGTCGTCCTGTTCTAATGTCGTTTCATGTCCAATGCTCGTTCATTTTCAAAATGAGCTCGTTCACATGGCTCAATCACGTCCTGGTTGAAGTTCGTTTGCTACGCTCACTCACCTTTAGGTTGGAGCTTGTTCGCTACGCTAACTCAATGCTATTGAACATCACAGAATCAAATTGTATAGTTAAACCAGCTGTTAAGATTCTTCAATTCCATTTAAATATGAGTACCGTACTCATAAGGTTAACACGGGAAACTCCAGAGCCACTGGGGCGGAGCCCTTTTGACGGATCTGCACCAAACTTCAGACAAACCATCCTCAAATAATACTTAATAATGCCTGAAAGTTTCATTACAATCTGTCAAGCGGTTTCGGAGTCCATAAAGGGCAAACAAACAAACAAACATACATACGTTGGGTTTTATATAGGCCTAGCCTACATAGGATTTGACATATT